GCAGTGTCACAAATTCATCTCTTAATTTGCAGAATTAATTTACTAACATTTCAGTTTATGCTGCGCCTGCGCAGAAACAGTCATAACATAATCCATGACATAAAAACGTTACCTATGTTGCTACCTCATCTACCTCAATTCTATACAGACCTAAGATAATATTTGTATGCAACACAAAGACACTGAGTCACTTAGGTATAGACAGCTCAACAAGCTATCCCACCCAACTTCAATATACTATCAACTTTATTAGAAAACTATAAAGTTGAAAATCTATTAAACTGATTAGCTCGATGTGTTAATGGGTACAATCACTTGAGAAAAAAGAATATTCTCATGAATGTGATTGTTTAAAAGACTGTGTTTATAGATGAACACTTTATTTTAGAAACCAACTTGTAATTCGATCAAATAATCTCAAATATGATGAGAAACATTGCCATTTTTACCAGTTACCTCTGTTATTTGTTTTTTGGCAGTTTTGACTAAGCATCCCTAAACCACCTCTCAATTAAGAGTTACTTAGCGTCAAGGAGCACCTAACAAATTTTTATTTTATTTTTTTAACGTTGCTCTACATTAGGATTTCCTCCTGTGTCGTGGGTGCGTTTACAATCATACAAGTTCACATACACATGACAACCAGACCCGAAACAACAATTTGTGGATTACACAAAGTGTTGTTCCGTGCGGTAATCGAACCCGCGACACGTTGCACGGCAGCCGGTTGCCCAGCCACCGCACCAACCGTGCAGTCTTGTTTTTTTTAAGTGTTATCTTAGTTTAGAGGTTCCTTCCTCATGCAAATACATTTAACAGATAGTCGTATATCCCTTTCTAACTGTGCTTGAACAGACATCTCCGCTTGAGTATACATAGATATTGATGCCTCTTACAATTAGTTAAGACCCGTATTCTATAATATTAGCCCTATTATAACACACAAATACCGGACATACTTTCAGAAATTGATGCTTTATCATTCAGCATTAACACTAAAAGTCCTTGTTAAAGACTAATTAGAAAATATTTTAAAACTTGTTAGTTTTTGTAGAATCAATGGGAAATATTGTAATAGTATATAAAATAACAATATAATATTACATTATAGGTACGTTAATATGAAACAACAAAGCGCCATTGACAGATATCATTGAACGAATGCAAGGGGCGTAAGCGATGCGTCACGTCTTATCAACAATGTACTTGATACTGGATTCATTTATTTACATACATAACACTACTTTTTCGCCACAACAGACATTATAAACTTATTCGTCAGTATTTTGAGTTTATTTTCCTTAAGTTTAAGGTGTATGATGAGTTTGGCAAAACTCTAAAAAGGTTTTGATTTATTAAGCACAAACACAGGCTGGATCACAACTAAAACCACTGTAAACTCTGTAATTTATAACAATATTCTGGCTTTCTGCCGGGCTTTATTATTACCATACTATTTATGAAATGAACTGTTGATTGATTTGTCACTGTTTTCTCCAAAACTACTAAGTTGATTTGAATAAAATTTGACATAGCAATACATTAGTCTGGAATAACAAATAGGTTACTGTTTATCCCAGCCTAGACTAAAATTAAGTACTTATCGAAACGCAACAATTAATAGTATGATATACCATGCCTGAATGTGGAAGTTAAATTATTATTATGGAACATGTTGAAACATAATGTATGTGTTATCTGTTAGCAGCCTGGTCAAGCGAGAGTGAGCCGATTTAATTAAAGGTCACCAACACTCATTACACTGAATTTACTAAAATAATCACTATCGGTATTATATTAAATTAACGCGATTTAAAAATTTGCTCATTACTAGTGCATTATCTGTAAATATGGAAATGTATAATGCTTTATTTATTTATCCAAGGGAAGGTCTAATTTTAACCTAACTGAATAAGTTGTGAAAATATGTAGGTAGATAGACGGTTCATACCTGTGGCACTTCTTATAATGAATAAAGATTCACTGTCACTCGGAAAACAATCTTGATCTAACCTAACAAAAGCTGACCAATAAGACTCCTGCACGGTTGACTGACAAACACTCTGCATCAAGGGAGGATTTTACAACATTTTCCCACGAAAAGAAATATACGGACGAAATTCACTGCACAGTCTGCGCGGTGGATGGGCAACTGACTGCCCGACGTGTCGTGAATTCGATTCCCACACGGAACAAAGAGTTGTTCCGTGCTGGAACGGGAACGGAACTTGCGGTACACAAAGAGTTGTGTGACCCACAGATCGTTGTTTTTTTTAAAAAAAAGGAAAGACAATAAATCTCGAGTATAACCTAGCTACCTACTACATAGTTTTATGAACCGCGACCCTGAGCACGCCAGGTCGGGTCGCGATGCACCGTCCATGGTACCAATTACAATGACCCCTCCCCTCTATCACTGCAAAACGATGATTGCACCCGGAAATATCTGGGTTTAAGGTCGAAAGTATCAAACAAAGAAACATTTTATCACGTATTTCGCGTTAACGAGATATCGACTGTAGATGGATGAGAAATAAAGTTGATTTTGTCAGATAGTTCGTTAAAAGATTTTTCGAAGAATCTCTAAAGGAAAACAGTTGTATAAAAGATTCTGACTAAGCATAAAAAAACTTGCTTATTTTGCATTTTAAAAAGTCCTATTTATTGACCACAAAAAATAAACTAACGAAGTTTCTTCTAAAATTTCTTGCGAGAGACCATATTGAGGATATTTGAGAATGGTCATTTATATTTAGATATAGGATAAAATACAAGATACAAGGAAGGAATAATATCGGTAATAAAAGAGCTACTTCATATTGAATATTATCATTTATGTGACGCCTTATCTTGTTAGGTATCAGATAAATTAAATTACGGAATCAGAGAGTAGACTTATGTCGCCGATACCGACCTTCAATGTCCCGTACTCCTAATGGAGTTCCTGGCTTATCGCCATTGTTACTATTTTCATAAAAGGAGTAACAAATTCAATGTCTGGAAAATGTGTAAGTGACCATTTTACACACAACACCGAAGGGCTGTTACAATTGCGTTGGTTAATATTAAAAAAATAGTAATGTATTTTCGAAAAAAAGTCGTCGAACTCTTCAGTCACTGAATTACTAACGAACTGTTTATTATCCTTACTAGTCCTTACTAGTAATATTATAAATTGAAAGTGAGTTTGTTTGTTTGTTGTTCCACCTTGACGCCGTAACTACTCAACCGATTGCTTTGAATTTTTGCAGACGTAAAGTTAGAAGTCCGGGTTAAATAACTTTTTAATCAGGAAAAATTGATATTCCCGAGGAAAAACAAAAGTATTGGTATAGATGGCGCTGTGTGTATTGGTATATGTCACATAGGCTATTTTTTATCCTTTTGTGACGCGAGCGAAGCCGCGGGCAAAAGCTAGTTTTTAATAAACTATCATAGGTATTTTTAAGGAAGGTTAGTTAGTAGGGAAATCATAGGAGAGGACTTCTCATTCCAAACACTGTTATGAATCAAAGTCAAAGTCAAAATCATTTATTTCAATCAGGAAGGCACTTTTGAACGTCAACAACAAAAAAATTTAGAAGTGAATCTAGTTGCTTGGACCAGGACGCGGGTAAAAGTTAGTGAATTTATTTCTAGAATCTTGACTGCTCGGGCCAGTTAGGCGTCAGAGTAAGGTTATATTTGGCAAACAGCCTCAAGTTATCCGATATTTTACAAATTAGTTCGCGGCCGAGGTCAGACTCGATCGAAATACATTAAGTGATCACGTAACTACTGATTTTCAGTATCCTCTTGGCAATAGGTATGTAGGTACATAGTTTTATTTTGAACTTAAGATTTGAAATTCTGGTTACTGTAGGTACTTATTTTGAACAAGGTTTTTAAATAAGTATAGGTAATTATTATTGTAAAGTTCATAACTATTTGGTATGAATTTTACATTTTCTGAATCTAAATAATATAAGTGATTGTGCGATTTATATTAAGACTGACTGCCAATAAAAAACTGTTGAACGTAAATCCTCCGCTAACGCCGGTCACCAGTGACCCCCATGGCGTTTAACGTGTTAAACAATTAATTAATACTTAATAAACTTTTAATAGTAATCATTACTTGTTTAATTATTGATTATCCACTTTTTCCGTCGTGGTAGAATTGCGTGGTCGTCTTCAACACAAAATATTATAAACGCGTTACTTGATAGTAATAATATGTGTGACGTCACAAAGACAATCTTTCCCTTTATGTACTTATAGCACATCTATGAAGATTGTACGTGTACATAATTATATAATTATATACATACACAGGAACAATATTTATATCTTTATAAATGATTAGACAAAATCGCGCGTGACCCGAGAACGGCTGCACCAAATCGGATAATAATTTCAATTTTATATTCTTTAAGGTAAAGTCAATGTTGACAAAAAGATACTTAGTTACATATAATAAAAGGTAGGTCGTCTGTCAACCTTTGTAAGAAAAACATTTTACCTGGGCCACTAAAATAATTCCCAATATTGTTTATGAAGGAACTTTTATAAAATTTATAAGGTGTTTAAGAAAATAAGTTTAACACTAAAAAAATACTAAAACATAAGATTTTATACTAACAGGAAAATAATCCAAGATTATACCTAGAATCTATCTAATCAGAATGCATGACTCATCTTTACTAATCTAATAAAATGAGTTTGTTTATTTGATCACGCTTATCTATGGAACTACCTTTTTGTATCAAATCCTATTTTGTCTAACCTAATGATACATAATCCTATTTTAATAACTGTAAGCACTTTAAGTTTCATCACAATGATCACTCATCACTCAATGATAACTGAAAAATTATCTTATTTAAAAACAAGTAACAAACCAGTTGTCAATCACAACAAAGAAAAATCCATAGTCTCAATGAACATAATGAGAATATGCACAAATGTCCTTCACACAGTTGGAAATTATCTTTGTCAATATTTAAAGAATTTTCACTCACCATTCTCCACAAACTTGGTGTATGTAACATTCAATTGGGCTGCAAATTGAGCTACAATGCAGGTCTCATTGGCCTTCTCATCAGTGTATGCCCATGTGCCCTGGTCGGGGGCGGGGAGAGGAGCAGGGGTGGGGGCAGGTGTGGGCGCAGGGGCAGGAGTTGGCGCAGGAGTAGGCGCAGGAGTAGGCGCAGGAGTGGGCGCAGGAGTGGGCGCAGGGGTAGGCGCCGGCGTTGGCGCTGGTGTCGGTGCTGGCGTTGGGGCTGGTGTGGTCGGCGCTGGTGTTGTGGGTGCTACCGTTGTTGAGCTCGACTCGGGAGCTCGTGTTGTTTCAGGCAAAGTTTTAGGAACTACTGGTTTAGGATCTACATCCTGGGTAACAGTCTTTGGTGTTGTCAAACCGTAACCTGTGGACAAAATATGTGTTAAAATCACTGAGTCTCAAAGTATGCTATGATTTATAAATGTATTCATGACACATAATGATCACCAAGTTGTAAGATGACAAATCGGATATCAGGGAACAGGGAACATGGTAAATATCCAGTGTAGATAAAGTTATAATTAAGTTCTTGTTTTCAGCCATAACTACCTACAGTTCATTGACACGAACATCTGTTTGACAAAACACTGGTCATAGATATAAAATATCAAACATACCTACATTATTATTGATTATTATATTGAGTAGTTTAGACATCAGCATATTATCAATCTAATTCTAAAATATGTATTATTGATTGATTGCAAAGAAATAAGATTGAAAACTATAACCTGTAGTTACTGGAATGTGGATCTACATGAGACACAACATATTTTCTATTGTCTCATAAACTGTCATTCAAGAGGTTAAAGAAATTGGTTACATTAAGATAACTAGATGGTAAAAACTCTGAATCACGTTACTGTATTATTCTAGTCACTATTATCTTCATGAGGTAACAGCACATTGGGTACCACATTTGATCATTATTTCGTATGGAATGAGGTAAAATATTTAACATAACAATGAAATGCAATACAATGTAATGAAAGTTGTGATATTACAACAGGTATCATTATGATACAGTGAGAAAAATATTGATAAATGCAAAACAATATATTTTAAACAATATTCTAAGTAACACGAAGGTGGTAATATTTTGTGACTATACAATAAATTATACTATTGTATAACTTGATAACACAAATATGTATATTAGACACTTTGAAATCAGATTCTACATAACATCACGCCTTTTATACCTGAAGGGGTAGGCAGAGGTGTACATTACGGCAGTTAATGGCACTGTGCAATGTAACACCCGTTTTTCACTATTTATGTTATGAGTCCCATGTAATAGGGGGTGATCCTATATAGATCAGATTCTAATTAGACTTTAATAGATTTATAGATGGATATTACATTTGAAAAGGTGGGTAATATGGACAGTGTGAAATAACTTCATATAGTTAGTTTTTAGTTAAAATTAGCATGTCTCACGATAGTTATTATAAAAACTTTACTTCAGGTAGTTACACAAAAGCATATAAATGTAAAAAGAACTTGTATTATACTTGCAATCTAGACAAAATATGGATGGAAAATATATTTTAAAACAACAGTGAAGTTTTACATCACAAGCCTGTTTTTAGGGAATATCAGGCATTTTTAGTAGAAAAGACTGTGATGATAAGGTAAAAGGTAGGCACACATTGCCAGTATGTTAAATTATGTGAGTAGGTTAAAATTGATGAACTTATGATTAATTTATGAACTGCAAATAGTTATTGTCCATTACCCTCTAATATAGTTGTAATGTACTAAGTATTGCTACCTTCAAAAATAAACTATTATGCTAATGAAACTCTTTTGTAATGTAACCTTCAGATTGCTAGCATTTATTTTTTAAAGTAAGAATTATGCCATTTTCTGCAACAAAATAAATTATATGTGAGCTTATTTTAATGTTTCACCAATGTTGGTATATCACTTCAAGTCATTTAGTTACTTGAAGCAAAAAAAGGATGTTTTAGTTATTTTTTCTTGAGAAGGTCATCTATTGGGACAAAATGACTCGGACATAATAAATTGCGCAGGTAAACAACAATTTACTGATACCCTTCGTTTTATAAAATTCACAACTGTACTGAAAGATAAAAGCAAACAGATAATAATTCCAAAATGTCTATTCCTCGTACCGTGATTACTAATACGTAAACCGTGCTTACAGAATCACAGAATCAGCTAGAAAAACGACTCAATTATTTTGCAGATGTGGGTACATTTTTCTAGAAACTCACATCACTACAGGGGCACAAAAATCATCTCTTTTCACTGCTAATTGCGCAAATAACGCTCAATCACGACAACAAAGCGCTTGAGCCATACAATCGGCCCCTACACAGCGATAAAAAGCAACAAAGAATGTATTGCAACATAAATAGTTTTACGGAACGCCACTTACCATTCTGCAAACAACTGCATAATACTGCTAATAACAAACAAAACCTAAGACGAGACATCTTGAATATATTGCGACGCACTGTTTAAGATAACTGTGCACCAAACTATCTCACAATTAAAAATGCGGTGCAAATAGGTGATTCGACGATAATCCGGTTAGAAACGTCCACGGATACGGAATGTCAAAACGAAGACAGCTGAGTTGTGTTGCCAGATCAAATTGAAAAAGCTACCATTTTTTATAATATGGCAACCTTCATCTAAATAAAACTATTTTTAATAGTGGTAACTAATAGCAATAAGCTTCATTCTCGGGACTTGCACAGTTTATGTGTACCCACACCATTAAATTGTAAGTTTTAACTATTCCATGACCCACATCGTGAGCACAAAAATGTATAAGAGGATGATATTGACAAATGAGTCTTCTACGCATACAGGTGTTAGTTGCCTTATGCCTAAGACTCATATTCAATAAAATAATAGCTCAAATCCTTCAGGTATTCAATCTGTGTAATTAACTTTTGAACTTTTGGTTAGGTACATATCTAAGGGCTATGCTACACGGGCGGTTCTCCCGTCGCGGGAATCCGCTCGACAAAGCTCCCGCAAACCAGCCACCTACACAGGACGCGGTTTGCCGCTGTGTTTTGTGTTCATTTCAACATGGATCCGCCAATGATAACTGCGCTTGCAGCTCTTATATTATTAGAATTGATAAAAATAAAGTAAACCCCAATGTTTGGGTGGAACCAGTGTTTAGTAACCGTTTAACTTCGGGAATATTTCATTCAAGGTTTAGTGCACGTGATAAAGCTCCTAAGTTTTCTTACTATAAAATGTCTGACTGAATGACGAGCGAGCGAGAATGTCCCGCGCACAATGACGCAATAGCGGATAGCGGATAGCCCGTGTAGTTTAGAATGGCGCGGCGGTAATCAGCGGCGGTTTGACGCTGCATGCGGCGGTCGAATTTCTCTCGCCTGCAAACCGCGGCGGGAAACCACGCCGTGTAGTTTGTAGCATACATTGTCCATAAGAATTAAGTCTAGTGCGGTTCAGAAACGGATTTCCGCGGCGGGAGAACCACCCGTGTAGCATAGCCCTAATAAAAAAATCAACGAGTCATTTTTTATACTTTTATTCACAAGATGACATCACAAAAAGAGGCAGTAGGAAATTGTAATTTTAACATTGCAATATAAGTAATTAACCACAGAGTATTATTAAATATGATCTTATATTTAATATTTTATTTACATTAAATCTTATTACAGTAGAAGAAAGAAATTAGGTTATGCAACACAAATCACATTACCTACCTTATAGATAGTAGGCAATTCAATTTCATTTCAGGTACAGGCACAGGTATATTTGGCAATTATTTTTATATTTTATATATGTAGGCAGTTTATAGAATAAACAACACGTTGGTATATTTTCAATAATTAACCCATACAGTAACCATACAGGTTTGACAACATTTACAAATATTTATATGCGGTAAATATTAGGTACATCTAAATGAAGCAAAACGACATCTATAATATTCGATCTTACAATAATTATAAATTTTAAATAATGAATTAACTCTAAATAATTGATCTTTCCAACACATTCTCTTATTCAAACTTTTCTTCCTTAATGTAAATAGCTGTATTTGAGAGTTGTATTTTAACACTTTAATATTCAAACTACTAAACGTTCATTCATTTTCTTACAAAAGCTGTACGAAGACTAAAATTCTAGGAATTTATGTAGGTACTTAGTAGCTAAATACTAAAAAAGTGTATTATTCGAACCCATAGAATAAGTATAGGTAACTGTAGTCTCAACATATTATTATATTTCTTATAATTTAGGTATTATAGGGTATGTATTATAAATATCATAATATAGTTATCAACATTCTTAAAAAAAGATAGTAGAAAATACAATTTTAAACCTAAAACAGCCTGTGAGTCTGCGAGAACCATAATTAGATAGTCTACTTTTTATGAAAATTTTAAAGTAAAATTTAAAAATACTATAATAATGAGATCGAAATGAACTGAAAATCCTAATAAGAACAAAAAGTTTGCATGCAACCAGGGTTGCCAGCTTATTCGACAAATAATTCGAAACGCGCGCGTCCGTAACGGCTCTTAGGATCGTAGAAAATATCTCGGGTCCAAATACGACATTCCACGTTGATCACCACTCCACCTGGAAAAAAAATGATCCTTTAATAACTGCATAAGTAAGTAAATAAAAAATAATTAATTATTAAAAATCCAACTGCGATGACAATATTTTTGTTTAATTTTCAGAGAAAATAGTTAAACCTGGGATAGGTAGAATAATAATTCGAAACTTAAAAACCTGAATTGGCGCTGTTGGCGTTTTTGGGCTTATTGCTTTTGACATAATTTGCTAAATCAATATAAAATAAAATATTTACGTCGTGGGTTTTCGAAATGCACAGCGATCAGGGGCCCGGGGACCTGGTCGGGCAGGTTCCTGGCGGAGTAGGGAATCCGGTCAGCAGTGTGAAGCCTGCTGAGGGGGAACCCTGGTGGGTACTCGGCAGGGATGTACTGGATGGGCCCTATATTCTCTTTGTCAGCGCTGAACTCTCCTCCACAGGATACCCACACGAAGTCACCGTATTGGTTGGCAGGGCGATGACGCTGTGGAAATAGAAGTAATCAGTCACAATGATACGCTATTACGTTTACAAGTCTACAACATATACATGACACCTTTGTTGTTGCCTGCAACACGGTGGCGTTACGTTACGATGACTGGTTTAAATTAGACAAACATCATTCTAGTTACTTCTGTCGATAGTGCAGAAAGAAAAAGCAGTATTATTCTTCACAGTCGCCAGTGTGACTGCTCAGCAAGAGTCTTGGGTTCAATTCCCGGGTCGGGCATGTAGCATGGAGCCTGGAATTGTGCCCGGTATATGGCAATAGGCTCACACCCTAATACATGGGTCTCATAATATAAATAGTGAAAAGTGGGTGTTACATTGTACAGTGGCATTATATACCGTAATGTCACCTCTATCTACCCCTTCGAAGATAAAGGTCTGATGTTATACATGTATGTATTTTTCAGTCCAATAGAGACCACGAGTCCCCTTTTTAAGAGTCTCTTGCGTTTAAGTCTTAAAGTATAGCTAATTTCAATTAGTTACGTATTAAAAATAATGTTAAGCTTACCATTGCTTCTCGTATATGCTGTGGCATGTCAGGAGGTATGGCCAGCGGAGTCGTGATGTTATAGGGCTCTGGTACCCAGTAGTGGATCTGACGAATAGAAACAGATATAATTTTTTAAATTTCCATTTGATACAAAATAGAAGAAAATTCGTACTTACATGAGACAATCTAAGAAAGACACAAGGCTTCCCCATGGCGTATCCATAGAAGTCATCAGCGGTGCAGGGGTGCCAGAGTCTCATAGCCATGTCACAGGGGTCGGAGCGAAGGTGCTGATCGCGTCGGTTGTGAACCGAGCACGGAGCTCGAGGGGGCTCCTCGGGGATCGAAGTCTCGTAAACTGATGAGAGGTTGGAATGGTAATGATGAGAAAATGGTTGCTGTTTTGGAAGGGCTTATACACAATACACACAAATATTGGCTACTTCGCATTGTCACCTTGAGAGTTCACCAGCGATCCAGAGAGGTCTGTGAGTTTCTTGGTAGGCCGAGGCTATGGCCAAAATGGATTAAGATTACACACACAATAATGAGGGGGCCTCTAATAGTAACATCATAATATCTTTTGATCTACTGTATTGTATTGTATCTACTGTATATCCTGGCTTACAGGAGTTGTAGCGGTTTTCGGAGGTTGTGGCGGGCTTGTCCCATTCAAAGTTACATCTTAGGTAGGAAGGTAATAAGCAGTCCAAATTTAAATTTGTACACACATGGATGGTAAACAACTCCTTACCCCTGAGGAAGTCGTTGAGTCGCCGGTACCAGACATGCCAGCTGCCGGGGTCGTTGCCCCGCACCTGGATAAGAGGCTGCTCCCAGTTGTACTCCTCGGACCGAGGCCAGACCTCCAGCTCTGTAACACAAAAGAAGATTAGCATCGGGAATAGAATTGAGCATACTAATTGCAGTGCCATTTTCCAGAAAACAGACGGTTTTAGTAATTTAGTGTCAAAATACCTTTTTTTAAGTAAAGTTTTACAGTCTGTTTCTTATTGTGCTTATCAGTATAATACAAATATTTAACAATTGTACAGTAATAATGACGTACTCAATTACCAAATGGTACCGTGTATATAAATGCGTCATATTTATGCTTTGACATTTTCGCAGTGGGGTCGGGGTTAGCTGTCTCTATGGGAATGAAACATTTTGTAGCTAGTGCCATTTACAAACTTACCAACATAACGCTGTGGTAGTAGCAGGCCAAGCAGCAATCCGATAATACCACCTGCAAAATAAACAAATAGTCATAGATAGATAATATAAATAATATTAAACGAACGACATATTGCACAGTTCGCGATTAAACGCAAATTTATATATCTAACAGATGATAAGCATATCGCGAAGGATACTCTGGGCGTCGGGGATCGCGGGACGATCTCCGGCCACCGTAAGCGCGGGCCTGCGGACGGCGCGCATGGGTGGCTCGCCGCCCGACCAGAACCAAACCCGAGCGTTCCATCGCGTTCCGCGCGCGCCTTAAAAAGCAATCAGACCACCACGGATGGGGCCCAATTATAATAGGGCTGATGCCGATTCGGAGTCGCGGAGTACCTAACGGGTTACCGGGGCTCTGGCTCGAAGTGCAAGAGAAGGAACGGGGTGGTTTTTAGTCAGTAAGAGTCTGACACTCCCTTCCGCCTCACCAAGGTAGGAGAAGACATTCGATGATTATCCCCCCTTAAAAAAATCGGGTGATAGGCAAAATCATGAAAGTTAATGAGCTTAAATAACTATATTTGTCAGTATTCTTATAATAGTTTAATTAGCCTGACTTAAATTCCAACTACGTATTAATGTGCGATTAAAGTAGGTAATTTTTGCGTTCCAATTTCCTACGAACCTAAGTACTTTACTTAGTTAAGTAGCTATATATAACCTACCTAACGTATGAAACAAGCACGGGTAATTAACTCAGATCCAGAACCTAGTCTCTGTGTGCAGATGACGTCACTACACACCAATAAACTATACGACGTGATAAAACTCCAATCCGGACAATCCGGTCCATTTATGTACAATATTGATCTGGATCAGATTCCAGTCAAGTTATATCTATTGATGTTCTTTGTTTCCCGTTAGGTGCGTCCCGACACTTGGTATTTAATATTCATTGCTTTAATAAGGCATAACCAAGTAGACCAGATAGATTTACAAAGGGATCAAGTCAAAAAAGGACCAAGTCAAAAAGGACCAAGTCAAAAAGGATCAAGACAAAAAGGATCAAGACAAAAAGGATCAAAACAAAAAAGGATCAAATCAAAAAGGGATCAAGTTAAAAGTATGTAGGTGCATAAATGGAATGAAAAGCCTGAATCTAGAATTACTTAATTTAAATTTGTAAAACAACATCGGAATATCCCATTGAAAACAAATCATAATTTAATTCATGAATAAAGTTTGGTTTCATTTCCTTAATGCGAGCTTTGGCAACATTCAAATAGACGTTATAGATTTATTTATCGCCATTTAACAAAGAAACGACCAAGACTCTAGGCGCCAAAAGAAAGCAGGCGCCATATTGTCTGACGCTGGGCGGGCTCGATCCGGGAGAGTAAATCTTTTTACGAGTTCATTACGTAAGAAAAGTATAGGTACCTGTGTACATTATCAAGCATAATGAGTTTGGCCTAATTGATATAGAATAGAAAAGGACGTGTTTAAAGTGTAATAATCTTACAGGTACTAGAAAGTGCCTAAGTTAGTAATAGATAAATCAAATGAAGCATTATCCAAATTAAAAAAAGGACCTTTAAAAGCCATCGAAAGTATCCCTACACCCTTTATTTTTTTAGTATACTAGGTAAGGTATATAGCTAAGACATTGAGTTTATCAGCGTTTCGACGTCTTAAATTAAGGGTGACTCTCAACTTAGGTGGAGTACTCAAATACATGTAAATGATAGTCTTATAGGCAGTAAATCAAAACAGGTACTTATAATCATTCAATATGGAATAAAACTGCTAAGGAGTGGAGTTCTTTGCCAGAGTCTGTATTTCCTGAAGTATAACCTGAGTGTCTTCAAGGCCCGAGTGAATAGGTTGCTTATGGGACGACGTGCTCCATCGTAGACCGCATCATCGCTTACCACCAGGCGAGATAGCGGTTAAACGTCGGCCCATCAAATATACAAAAACAAATAAAAATGGCCTTTCGATTGACGAATAACAAATATATATAATGTATAATAAACTAGGTGCTCTACGCATTTGATAAGAATTGATAAGAACAAGTAATATCAATGAACAAAAGTCGTAAGGTTAAAGTCAGTAGATTTGCAAATGGTCCGGAGTAATAATGTTAGTTATTGAGCTAATGGCTCGGTATGACAAGGTGCGGTTCGAAAATATAAACGGTGCAGTAAATGGGTGCAACCTGCTTCCATTTCCTGGGTGCAGTTATACGAAAAACGGAAACTTATTTTAAAATTGACAATACTTTACAGCACTGGAAAAATTATTGAATGTAAAAAATTATGTAACTGTAATGACACATATGCTTTATGTTAGAAAACGTATTTTCCGTACACCAACTACAGAAGGAACAAAATGTTTAACTCAGAAGATTTTTATTCATAGATTCTTTTATTAAATACCTTTGTTTTTTATTAGCAAGACATATAAGTACCATACATAACATAATTTATCCCCGAAGGGGTAGACAGAGGTGCACATTACGGCACCTAACGCCACTGAACAATGTAACACCCACTTTTTACTATTTTATATGTTAATGAGGGGTGAGCCTATAACAATATGCCATAAATTAATTATTATATTATGTATATTGTGCAATGCACCTATAGGTGCAAATGCACCTGTTTATTATAAGTTTGCGTGACCACTAGCGCGTTATCCTGAAGCCGACTCCAGCCACGGAAACCCTACAAAGGAATGTTTTACTAAACACTGCGCTTTCGATTTGATCCATTAATAATATAGACAAACACTTTATAGGTACTTACAATGTATAGAATCATGGTGCTCATTCGTAGCTTTTGTACATTTTTGTTCCGAACAAGATAATAGTGGACCTGTACTGAACTAATCTTATTTTAACTATTCCCGTAGCATATATTTTTGAATCTGAAATTCTCACCTTTCGGAAGCAGTTAGACTTGAGTTAAGTTTTTATCTGATATATCGATAATGAAACATAGAAAATCCCCAAAAAAATCAATTTAGTAGTATAATTTATTAACATCAGACTTTATGATAGATAGATAAATTTAATTTAAAAAAAGGCAAAACAACTATATAGTTAAATGTCAACACCACATAAAAACGATAACTCAATTGACAAAAAATATCTACAAAACTTATTTCAAGTACCTACCTAATTAAAAACAATTCTTAAAGACATCTAATTATAAATACAACCTAATTATAAAAATATATTCTCACTCACCAATAACAAGGACCACAACAGCAACTATAATAATGATCTTGATGGTTCGTTTCTCCAGCCCCATGGTTCCTAACTCCTAAGTCCGGGATCCTAATATCGGCACGTCTCTCCTCACGGAACTACGGGCACAGAATACGAGCTCGCGACTCTCTGGGACCGGGGAGGATGCCATTGGATAATGTACATTACTGGGTTATTCTAAGATATATAGTAAAACATTATTTAAATGAAAATGTTGACAAAATGAAGATTTATGTCACTATTATGCATAAACTAAGTTTTTAATTAACATAAATTTATAATGTAAAGTAACAAACTTAATAAAGAATAAGAAAATTCCAGATTTTTATCTTTAGATAGGCTAGGCTGAATAAAAATAAAATACCTAAAATAATTTGACTACTACGACATTAATACGCGTCGCCTACGAGTTGGCTACGAGTGGACTACGACACGTCTACGAAATTGCTACGGCTACGTCGTAGACACAAAGCTAGGCTTTGTTAACTTACTTTTTTTGTTGTTTAAGGGTTGATAGGTGTTAAATTTAATGCATTTACAATGTTTTAATAATTGCAAAAAGTAGCTAAAAATAATTAGTAATAAGATAGACCGTTGCCAAAGTACTCATATCCCTGTGATTGAATTCAATTTGCGAAAATACAAAATGTGAAAATATTTTTTCTTAACTTTTACTTAGAAATAGAGCATATCTGTAATAAAAATAACTAGGACGTTGTAGACAATCTCAACTATTTAATGATATAAATATGAAAGCGATTTGTTTGTTTGTTCCACGCTTTATCAACTCAATCAATATTGTGGTTGCACACGTATAGTTGATATGAAACTTTGCATACACAAAATCTATGTTACAGATTTACTGAAGGCACAGTCGCTGGTAAAAACTAGTTCATAATTATGATAATTATTATCTCCCAAGCCAGCAATGTAAATCGTCCAACAGGGGGTCTTACGATGGCGTCGTGGCGCCGCGAGCTGGCGTCTTGTTGGCGCCGTCGGAGTGCGGACTACCAAATTGTACCGATTTCTGTACCCCATACACCCCAGCACCCCCGTGTGAGCCAAGACATGGTCAGCCAATGTTAGGGATGAGAAATCCAATAATAATGATAGTTTTGGACATATAATATGAAACGTGTTAAATGTTAATGATCTTATAGACTAGATTATTATTTACTTACTTCTGGGTTTTTATGGGGTGCTTAGTATGATATTAGTAAATCAAACGGCTTACAGGTATCCAAAACAAAGAAAAGTTGATCATCGATATCTTTATAAGAACTTCTAGTGCGTAGTTTCTTCCCCGAGTCTGCGTTTCAAATCCTATTTACTTTATTTTAATCGGTATCAAAGTTGTATTTTTACATGCATTTAAGTGTTTGTATTTTTCACTTGTTTCTTTAGATTTTACACAGGAATATTAATGTGATTTTGTCAAAGGTCACGGTTAGTACTTTGGTGTTTATTAATCTAACCGAAAGGCATTACGTTTTCATATTTCGTGTTCCTATTTAAAGATTTTCTAAATCTCTTTTTATCTTTGAATTCTTCGAGGGAAATGTGTAATAGATAACTTTTTCATAATTCATTCATAATATCACGCCTTTTATCCTCGAAGGGGTAGACAGAGGTGCAAACAGAAGTAACACTCACTTTTCACTATTTATGTTATAAGTCCCATTTAATAGGGAGTGAGCCTATTACCATATACTGGGCACATTTCCAGACTCCGTGCTACTATATAACTTTTAATCTCTGTAAATCAAGAAGTATGGGAAAATCTTGAATTTTTATCTTGAAAAAAGTATTTTTGCCATGCTCGAACCAATGCTGGACAGTTTTTTGAGCATGTGATCAAAAAACATAGAGTTTCAGTACAGAGGCCAGAAATGAATATCTACGTTCACGAATATGACGCCTATCAGGGAATAACAGTTATAATATCGTGTATTTACAAAAAAAAACAAAGCCAGTCGATTGATCACAACAAAATCGCAAAGTAATTTAGTACACAAACAAAACTTAGCCAAAGAAAGAGACCGAGCAATACCCCTTAACGTAAGACAAAGATAGAGAATGTCATATGATATCTGTGATGATATCCAGAGGTTGTTGACATTAGTGTCGAGGCGAGATTTTTATGTGACAGACATACAGACGCCAGGGAGTTTCAGATCTGTTTCTTATTATCTACTAGATTTTACCCGCAGCTTCGCTCGCGTCACAAAAGGATAAAAAGAAGCCTATGTGACATATTAATACACACAGCGCCATCTATACCAATACTTTTGTTTTCCCTCGGGAATATCAATTTTTCCAGAATAAAAAGTACCCTATTATTTAATCCAAACTTCTAACTTTACGTCTGCAAAAATTCAAAGCAATCGGTTTAGTAGTTACGGCGTGAAAGCGGAACAAACAAACAAACTCACTTTCCAATTTATAATATTAGTAAAGATTGGATGGTAAAAATGTACAATAGTTACTACCTAATGAGGTCTCAGGAGTCAGGACCGGTCGCCTGGCCGCTTCCCATGCTTAAGGGCGCCCCTTTATTGATTCAATACCTATCAACATTTTCCGAATTATATGTACTTTCTAAGATTATTTAGACACCACTGACAATCGGTGAAAGAAAACATTGTGAGGAAATCTGGACTTAGAATTTCTAATTACCTACATAACATAACATCAGCTTTTTATCTCCGAAGGGGTAGGCAGAGGAGCACATTACAGCACTTAATGCCACTGTACAATGTAACACCCACTTTTCACTATTTATGTTATGAGTCCCATGTAATAGGAGGTGAGCCTATTGCCATAAACAGGGCACATTTCCAGACTCCTTGTTACTACTGAGATTTTTTTTTAAAAACCCAGTAGTACTTTGCCCGACCCGGGAATCGAACCCGAGACCCCTTACCCGGCAGCCGCACTTGCGACCACTCGGCAGTCGAGGCAGAGGTTCAAAATTATAAACCTTATTTAAAAGCGTATTCCTTTTTAAAAGGCCGGCAACGCACCTCTGGATCCTCTGGTGTTGCGGGTGTCCATGGGCGGCGCTGATCGCTTACCATCAGGTGATCCGTCTGCTCGTTTAAAAAAACTGAAACCGAGATTTGAAAAAAAAATATAAAAAGAACAAACTCAAAATACAATAGTTGCCAGAATGAACACTTCTGTCTACATAGTACTTTGTTTTAAGAAGGGAAAATCATCGAATGACTGCTCCCGCCTAGGTGAGGTAGGAGGGAGTGTCAGACTCCTACTGACTAAAAACCACCCCGTTCCTTCTCCTGCACGTCGAGCCGGAGCCCCGGTAACCCGTTAAGTTCTCCATGACGTCTACATAGTACTTACATACTTATTTTAAAGTACCATTAATGCAGCTCCGTTCACTATTAACAACTTAATAACTCTATAAGAAAATTGCAAGTGTCTACAACTACATAAACATAACACTACCTACCCCCTTTCGCTACAGGGGTTGATGACACGCTGAGCGGATTACAAAGGGTGAATGAATCGCCCTGTTAATAAACATACAATTTATATGTAGATTTATTGGAAAATATACTATGTAGGGGTAAAGTATTTGCCTGTGTTATCGTGAAAGTAAACAAGTAATCATTGATTTAAATTATGTGTTAGTTTTCTCTTGGGTATGAAAGTGGAAGAAATCGTCGCGTGTGTTAAGACTGACAGCCCATTGTACAGATTGTACTCGAATTACTAAAACATTGTAAACATTTTTTTGTAAGTGGGTAATAATAATAAAGAATAATATATGCCCAAAGTATTTGGTCGGTTATAAATGTAATTTTATTTTTATATAAAGATTCCTAATTTGACGACAGGATATCCTGAAATCCTGACTGAAAAGTTTTGGAAAGTTGGGGGAAAGAATTTTGACTGCACGGTTGGCGCGGTGGCTGGGCAAATGGAAGCCGCGCAATGTGTCGCGGGTTCGATTCCCGCACGGAACAACTCTTTGTGTGATCCACAGATTGTTGTTCCGGGTCTGGGTGTCATGTGTATGTGATATTGTATGTTTGTAAACGCACCCGCGACACAGGAGAGAATCCTAGTGTGGGGCAAAGGTTTAAAAAAAAATTGAAATTGTTCCTGGCCTAAGCATAAAAGCATGGAGACATCATTTTTTTAATTCAATCAAAGCACTATGATGTTGATTGAAACAATGTAAGTAAGAAATCAGATACGCAACATTGAACTTTTATTTATCATTATTATTTAAATAAAATTATATTTTCATGACGTTATGTATTTCTTGACATTGTTATTAGTATTTATATTGAATTTGTAAATCTTAATTATTGCTTACTATATTATATTGAATCTGACAGCTCTTTTTACTATATTTTGCATGCCAATATACGGGCAAAATGTATACGGCCATTATATTTTATATCTGTAACAACTTATTTGTAAACACCTACATTTTATGCTAATAAATGATTTGATTTGATTTAAAAGTAACTAATTACTACGTTAATTAGTAGTACCTAAATTAATTTCAACCAAAACGCAACGCACATAGCACACAAAAACTAAAGCGCGTCTATTCGTCCATTGTGTAGAAATTCGCGACATTTTCGCGCTAACCCTCTGGCGCCGGGCAGTCGGGTACGTTCTCACCCTCCGTCCGCCGTGCCCTAGTTACGGGTCTATTACACCCCGGTACTATAAGCACCTACGATGTATTCTCTTGGATCATGACGTCATTCCGTTTTACCTATGAATAGTCAAAATAAGATGTTCGGATAGTATGGATTTCTCATTAATGAGTACCTTTAAGTCAATAACAATAGTATCTGCTTATCTTTATGATATGTTTTATTTTTTTGACAATATTTTGGAACATTAAATCAATACAATAACAATACTTACATATGTATTCTGAAAACACCATAAAAAGCGTTTCAGAGAAAAAGCTACGCTAATACAATATCTTTATGGATCTTTTTCAATTGATGTCGGTTTTGCTTTGTTTGCCAAAATCCGTGTTGCGGTTTCTGGTTTACCCATTAACATAATTAGTTTATTCTTAAACTGCACTTTCTACTGTCATTATAAAGTCTATGTTAATATTTTGAGTGAGTAGGGATTTAATAACATAACATCAGCCCTTTATCCCCGAAGGGTTAGGCAAAGGTGCACATTACGGCACTTAAAGCCACTGTATAATGTTACACCCACTTTTTACTATTTATATTATGAGTCCCATGTTACAGGAGGTGAGCCTATTGCCATATACCCGACACAATTCCAGACTCCGTGTTACTACTGAGAATTTTTACTTAAAAAAAACCCAGTAATACTTTGCCCGACCCAGGAATCGAACCCCTTACCACGCACTATCGCACTTAACGAAGCAGATTAATATTATAGATTTAATATAGAAATTAAAAGAAATAAATAGATATAAAGTTTCTCTATTTCCCAATTAAGGTAAGCAGAGTAACATATTAAACGCACCCACTTTTCACCAGTGTCTGCGCGTGATTATTGAACAGACCTATTATTGAAGAGACCCATTCCCAACAACCAGATATATTAAATTCTCACTAAATTAACGAGAACTTAAAAGCTCAAAAATACTTCTTTAGCGTAACGGGAATTCAATCCAAAATGTCCCGTTGGCAGTCACACTTAGAACAAATACCAAAAAAGCAATCACCTGGAAGTTCTGTTTAGGTTTATCTAGAGGTAAATGAGTACCTAATTGGGGGCTTTGGTGGAGGCCTACTCAGTGTAATCAATGCCCCCTTCCGAAACGTGCTGATGGTAACAGTGTAATTTTAGTAAGGTAAGAATCCCATACCTACCAGTAGACAGGTAACAGGGACTGCCAGGGAGTACCCTGTTATTCTAGTCACCTTACCCCTTTTTTTAACCGACTTCAAAAAAGGAGGAGGTTATACGTTCGGCGGGTATGTTCCTTTTTTTTAAACTTTTGCAGTTTAAGTCCTATCTCCCCAAACATAAGGTGTCATCTTTTACAGCGCGATTGTTTTCATTGCTTTCTACGGCTCTGCATCAATTGGGTACTTGCCAACTAGTCAAATTCAATACTTTTTTTCGATCTGTCAAAAACGACAGTTTTCTATGAATTTTGTACGAGATTGTGTATTGTGACGTCACGTTTTTTTAGCGACAAGCATCATACTTATTTCTTAAAAATGTGTTAAAAGTATCTAAAATTATGTTGGTCACAAAATCAATTAAAGAAATAATTTATATAACTACATAAATATGAAAGTGTGTGATTATTTTTTAATATTTTTCTGTATTGAAAGTACTCAATTTATCTGTAATTAGTGCAACAAACTTTGTACTCAACACCTACACTCATTATTACTCATTTAAGTACATGTACATCACTACATCTAACTCATATTACGTCACCAGTCTTGTCGAAAGACATAAGGGGCGGGTCAGGATTGAAGACTAAATGTCACTCATTGGTAATTAACTAAAGCAGTATTTTTAGAAATAATGAGCAAATAATTTTGTAAACAGTAACGGCATATTGTCAAAAATTGTTATTGAAAAAAAAAACGATAAAGAGGACAGCGGGATGTCCTGACCTCATGGACAATGGACATGGGACCCTCTCGGGAGTATAACCTTTGAAACAAAATAAGAATTTTAAAAATCGGTTTACAAATGGCGGAGTAATCGGTGAACAAACAAAAACAAAACGATCAGCCGAACATAGTACCGCCTCCTTTTTTAGACGTGTCGGTAAAAATCGATTGTCTTGAAAATATCAGTTTCCTCACATGTACATCTAATTTTGACTGATCGAAAGAAATTAGATGCATGTAGCTTCTAAACTTAGCTTTGTAAAAACATGAGTTATTCTGTTTTTGACAATTGTGTTACTTTTCTGAAGCTGGAGCCGCTGGTAAACAGGTATTGGATTTGAGTATCAGATGACACTAAACACAAATAAGGCTCCGACTTTTTAGCTACTGTTGATAATGAAAAGCCAAGAAATTATTCCTTTAGAGTGTCGACCCATATAATCGATTGTATGTAGGTTCATAATGGGGCTCCGGAGTTGGTCTACTAAGAGGACCCGGTGCCTCCTTCAAGTGCGGATGGTAGCCACCGGGGAGGTTTTAGTGAGGTAAAAATCCCACACTTCCTAGTCTTTTTCCCCAAAAAGCTAGGCGCTGTTAGAAGGTTTCCCCCGTCAACAAAAAAAAATAGGTTCATAATGTAACCGGTACACCACATATCGGTTACATTATGAACCGTGAGTCTTGTCTGGTCCGTAAGTTATTTTATGGAAATTTTTAAGTAAGTCCCTATACAGAGTAGTGGTTTTATGCCCAAAATAACCACATCCTTTATTGAGCACACATTAACATTGAGCACAATCATCATTCTTGTGTGTATATCTTGGCAAATCTATGAATCTATGTATTTCACGTAAGTATAGTACAATAGGGAAAGGGGTACAACTACTAAATGAAACACGGATGAAACCTAAATTGGAACCAACTATTGCGTGTTTATTGACTGTCCGTCCAGAAAACATTACATAATTCATAATTCATAAATATTTAATAAATTTTAAATTTCATTAACTTTATTTGAAGCGTGACAAACCAAAGTTAAAATTAGTGGCGCCCTCTGGCTTATTCTAAAACGAATACAAATTAATCGCCGACTATGTGGCTATTGCTAATGGCGCTTGGCAGCCGGCCTGGCATGACCTCCGTGACGACCTTGGCAGCCGTAGCGAACAATTGGCGGCCTTGGCGACTAACTGGTAACCATGACCTTACAACACTTATAACAACTAACAGCCGGTTGAGCCCGGCAACCACCAATTAGCATGACTAGTAATCAACTATGATCTTTGGCAGTAAGTTGATGAACTTGGCCAATTGGGGTTCGATGACCTTGGCCGATAGGCGATCAGTTGGTGACCTCGGCGACCAATTGGCGGGTGGGCCTTCACCGCACAGAACGCGTGAGTATTTACAGGGTTACGGGAGCTAGTACCGCCAACGTTTGGCCAACAAGTCGAACATCCTACTTTACAACTGCTACACTCCTGGCTCCGAGCTGCCTAGACTTGTCTGGCTGCGTGTTGCGGTATAGCTCCGGTGTATGAGCATGTTCAAACATAAGTGCTACTCAAAGGGCCCGGTCGGGGATTCTGTACGGTGGAGGCTTCGCTCTGTGGCCAACTGGCAGCGACTGGCGTGCTTAGGCGCGGTCCACCATCAGCTCGAAGTGCACGGAGCCGCGCCGCTCGTAGCGGTCGTATAAGATGTTCTTGGCCCACGCCTTGCACTCTATATTGATCAGGACACCAGCTGGAAGTAAACAATAGATATTCATTAGCAGTGCATCCACCCTACAGTTACTTAATTTTCACCATTCAATATAATTGGATTTCCCATAACTGCAAAATAATTTTGGATACTTACTCCTGGGCTTTTCGAAAAGTACAGCGACGAGGGGGCTGAGGTAGCCCTCCTTGTTGGTGAAGGGGTAGTAGTAGGCGGGGAAGCCCCTGCGGGGGATGTACTGCACGGGCCCGATGTTCTCTACGTCGGCAGGGTTCTCACCCTCGCACGACACCCACACCGTGTTCGCATCGGGCTTGCCAGACTGTTAGGACAAGATTTTTGATAAATTCATTCATATCACAGACCACAAGCATCTGTACTACAATGACATGGCATTTCTAAGTATTAGTACACCGTGCCACTAGACCCGGTGTGTGTGGTAGATTCGCTTCTAATAGTCAACTGCAGATTCTGTTAAATTCCAGTTGATTACGTACCACCATCTTGATGTGCTGCTTGAGGTCATCTGGCATGTTAGAGGGCAGGTCCTCGGTGTTGTTGTATGGTTTGGGCACCCAGTTGAAGATCTGAAATAAGAAATATATTGTTAAGAATTTACTTAATTTCCATGATGATCTAGAAAGGGGTGGAAGACAGCTCCAACAGGAACTCTTTCAAACAGAGAGACCGAAATCTTACCTTATTCAGTTTGAGGAACACACAAGGTCCAGCTTCTTCATAGTTGTACTGGTTGGCGGAGGTGCAGGGGCTGAAGTCATCGACAGGTACGTCGCAGACCTGCTTCTCTCCAGTGGCTCCGGTGGTGAACGAGCAAGGAACCCGGTACTCTGCGCCACTCGCTTCACCCACACCACTGCCCTTCTTGCGGTAGTCTGAAAGAAGATGGTTTAAAAAGGATATAAGTAAAAGGTTATTCTTAAATAAATCTGATTTAACTCTTCTTCTACTTGAAAACTGCTTTAGTCGTTGTCAAATCTACACGCGTATTTTCTGAAATCTGTTTTAATTTTATTGTTGGTCGCAGGTAAAGTTTGCCCCCAAAAAGTCATTGTTTAATTGCGTGGGTAAACAAGCTATTACTTTTCAAAACCAATCCATACAGCTGTGTCTGTAGAAGGTGGCCTTGGAGAGTGATTAGCGGATCCCAGTAATGATTAAGAGCAACGGCACGATGACCTATTAAGATAAACGATTGTGCCAAACAGTTCAGTCAACATGGACAACTAAAGTACTGCAGATTTTTTACTATCTTCTATTTGGTCCCGTGGAGTTTGGAATCTTGGACATTTTTTATGATCTCTTGGCTATTGTTCATCGTAAAAGAGTAGACAGGGTGACTGTTCGGTTGGTGCGGTGGCAGGGTAACTGGCAGCCATGCAACGGGTAGCGGGCTCGATTCCCGTACGGAGCAACTGTTTGTGTTATCCAAAAATTGTTGTTCGGGATCTGGGTGTCATGTGTATGTGAAATTGTATGTTTGTAAACGCACCCACGACACAGGAGAAAACACTAGTGTTGGGTAACGTTTTTAAAAAAAAACAAAACGAAACGAAAAACGAGTTATTGTGGTAGAGTACGTTGATAAATTACTGTGCGAAAGTGAACTTTAAGAAGTAAAGTTAAGAACCTAGGTCCAAAGAGTGCATATACATCTTGCAATAGTATGATGATAATATTACACTTACCCTCCAAATAGTCGTCGATGATCTGCGCCCACTTCAGCACGGAGCCCTTGTCGTTGGCCTTGTAGTAGATCAGGGTGCTCTCCACGTTGGCACTGTCGGGCATGGGTCGGAAACCCAAACCTGGAAATAAATAACCAACCATTAAAGTATGGAACTGAAATTAAATGATCGTTTTGCTTACTAGTCGTAATTTGTAAATAATATATTATCTTTGACCTTTTTTGGCCTCGTTCTATATGTAAGTTGGGAGTTGGCATTGAGGTTTTGTTGGATTGGACTGTATATTATTAATGTATAAAGAGTAAGTATCGTCTATACACAGAGCCCGTTAGGAAAGATTAACATCTTGAATTAAAGTCGAAGGCTCGTGATTATAAATGCTGCAGTTAATCTGATAAGTATAAACTACTTATAACCCCAATTTCATGAGATAATGTCATTGGTGAAACAGGATTATTATCTTGTTACCTGGGTTAGATCCGATAAGTGAGCCATCAAGCTGCCACTTGGGCATCTTGGAGTCCAGCGTCTGGTAGAAGATCGCCAGCATGGCGGCAAAGAAACCCACGAGGATTGCATAGAAGATCAGGTAGAATAGCAAGATTTTAGCTGAAAATCAAAAAATAATAATTGTTTAGACAACATTCAATATGCGGAGGTAACAATATAGAAACCAATCTAATTATTAATTATTATTTTACTGCTAAGTGAATTTACTGCTTTTCGAATGTAGATTAATATAATTGAACCTCAAGTTTTAACACAAGGCTGAATTAATTCAATTACTGTGAATTCGAAGAAGTGCCCGCTATTACATGGGACTCATAAAATAAATTAGTGAAAAGTGGGTATTACTTTGTACAGTGGCATTAAGTTCCCTAATGTGTATCTGTGCCTATCCCTTCAGGGATAAAAGGCATGATGTTATGTTATGTTCAAAGATGTTCAAAAGGAATTAAAATTTTTGTTTTGTAGACAAAGTGTACACCAAAAAATACAATTATGTCAGTGTCTTCACTGGAGAAGCTTGGACAAAGTAAAGAAATATCTAATATAAACCTGATATACCTACAGACAGACTAATAAAGCTAAAGGGCCTAAAAGTAGGTCGTTTTCAGAAAGCCTATCCAGTATTGATTTTGAAGGTAGACTGCCGTCTGACCTCCTTCCAACCCCAACCAAATAAATTAAATATGTATCAGAATACAGCAGGTCGTAAAAATCAGCTGAATGAAATAAAACCTAAAAGGGCTGGCCTCATTTCTCACGCGATTGCCATCTGGCTGTAATGGGCTGAAAGTAGGGAGCTATATTTGAGGACTTTTGTGTTTCTTTATTTCTTTCTCATGTAGTAAGGTCGTGAGTTTGAAAATCTACGGCTGTATTAGGATTAACAATATGTTTCAAGTGAATTTAATTTTACTAACCCTGATATATGAATTACTGTTCTAAGATTTTATTACCTACATTTCTTATTACAGGTCGACCTAATAATGGGGTGTTAATGTCATTAATGTTATTTGTATTTTAGAATTCATTAGTAAATTGTTATATTGTTTTCCCTAAAATATCTTTCAAATTTATATTTGAAACTAGCTTTTACCCGCGGCTTCGCTCGCGTCATAAAAGGATAAAGAGTAGCCTATGTGACATATACCAATACACACAGCGCCATCTATGCCAATACTTTTGTTTTTCCTCGGGAATATCACATTTTTCCGGGATAAAAAGTACCATATTATTTAATCCGGACTTCTAACTTTACGTCTGTAAAAATTCAAAGCAATCGGTTGAGTAGTTACGGCGTGAAGGTGGAACAAACCTTGCAAACAAACTCACTTTCAGATTTATAATATAAGTAAGGATTACGCATTTATATGCGTCACTGAAATTCATGCTATAATTTCATAAATAAATTATTACCCTAATATTATGTAACTTCAAGCAAGACCTAATTACATATAGTTTTTAAATCTATAAATAACATTGTTTACATATAACGCGGTGTTCCTAATTCCTATAACGATCGTGTCATGTAATAGGTAGGTAGTCTGCGTGGTTGATGAGGCCGATAATAATTGGTTGTAAGTGGCGACAATAGGAGTTTCCTATCTAACTACCGGCCGATCACTGACCGCATTAGCGAATTCCGAAGCATCAAGTTCTTCCGTGTTGATGAAGTCTATTGAATAGGGTAGATAAATAATTTTTATTTTTATGTCCGTCTGGTAGTATTTTTAAAACATTACACACGTATTTTAAATTTTTTTACGGACACAAACACCTTTGACCGTTTACTGATTTGAAATATCGCGTGACGTCACTTCTAGGTACATTTTATATTATGTAGAAATGACGTTTTAGCCCCCACTCCTAAACTTTGATTCGTTTTATTGAAGTTTTATTTTCTTATGCGACAGAATAAAAAAATACGTGTTTAATATTTTTTCATTACCAAACTGACGGACTAAATAGATTTTTATTTTAGCTACTAGTCAAGTTCCTCGTCAAACAGTTAAGTTAATAGAAAACTGATGAAGGTAAATCCTCCACTAACATCGGTCACCGGTGACCCCCACGACGTATGTGTTATTTAGTCTATCTAACGAAAGTTTTAATATAAACAACCCCACTATGTGCATATTGTAAGTACTATATTTCATTCTTAGTTGACAAGTGCAGCCTGATTTAATTACATTGTATCTGCGTTCTCAATCAGCACTAATTAACAATAATGTCACCGCTCCGTGATCACTTCACGTCGCCACGCCAACTGACGCCATTTATCGTACGTTCGCAAAGTATACGAAATTAGGACACTTCGTTAGTTCGGCTCAAGGTAAGGTGCTCAGGGACTCTGTAATCCTTATATCGAGTAAGGTTGATATGTGGCTTTCCTTGAATGTGAAAGTAGAAAATTTCAAGTAATCTCTTGATTTTTTTATTCATTTTTGAATAGTCTCTTAGTTTTCGAATATGATGTGACTATATAAGATATTTATCCTCTCAAATCCTTTCGATTGTAGAAGATTTTTGGTCCATTTACAAGCTATATAAAATAAAAAAGTACTAAATATTTTTGTTGCTAATTTTTTTTAAAGAGCACAAAATACTAATAACTCCGTTCTTTACAACTTACGTAGATGTCTGAAGGATAGTCATAATATGTTACTTTTAGCTTTACGTGTTAATATTTTTTTAAATTCTAAATCTAAAGGCACAAACTCTATAGTTTACAGAATAGTTTTCCAATTTAAACCCCAACTGATATAAAACTACAACAGCGCCAACCGCTTGAAACTTGAACTAATTGCAAAAAGTTCTACGGGATGGAAAATTCAAACTAGTTTCATTAAACTGAGAGGAGTGCTGACTTTCCATGTCGTTGGATAATTAACTTTATTGCGCTGGTTTAAAGTTTAATGTCTGATAAATAGGGGTAATTTTCCTACTGGATACGTTTGCATAATTAATTCAGTGAAGCTACAGAGTAATTAGTAATTCTACTAATACAAGAGCACCTTGCAATGGGTCCCACCGTATTTTTGCTAACCAGATAACTCTAGTGTGAACCTCCCTTTCTTCGATCAATAGGGAATTAGCTATTGTCACACCATTGGATGTTCAATAATTGACAGCTGCTGTGATTGAACAAAAAATTTGTTCTTACATTTGCGCTATTACGATATTTATTCTGAGATACACACCTTCACGTAAGAAATTAAAATATAGTATATAGTAGAATAGTCTAAACTATATATATAATCCTAAGAATATGAACTAATATCGTGTGAGAGAAACGTAACATAACATCACGCCTTTTATCCCCGAAGGGCTAGGCAGAGGTGCACATTACGGCACATAATGCCACTATACAATGTAACACTCACTTTTCACTATTTTATGTTATGAGTCCCATGTAATAGGAGGTGAGCCTAATGCCATATACCGGGCACATTTTCAGACTCCGGGCTACTACTGAGGTTTTTACAAACCCAGTAATACTTTGCCCGACCCGGGAAATGAACCCGAGACCCCTTGCCCGGCAGTCGGCAGACCACTCAGCCAATGAGATAGTCTGAGAGAAATGAGATCTCCTTTTTCATTAGGTACACAAAATGTAGTTAAGAACTTTAAACACAAATACCATGCAGTACAAGAAAACCCTTCATCAACGATCAATATAAAATAACCTCCCTTAAAACCACACAAACCGCAACCAAGAAACGATGCGCCAGTCATTACTAAACCATCAAGTATTGATCGATACCTGCCACTGGCCAGTCGATGGCTTTTCCTAGGACCGATTCATTAGTCATTATTGTATGCAACTGCACCAATGCAGATACGACAGTAATAGGTATGTAGCGATAGACGCAGGTCACGGAGCATGCGCGGAAAACGTGCGACCTTTGACAAGAAGACTGTATGACGCCTGTTTTCTGTGAAGGGGAAAGGTGGATAACGTGGCTAGATTTTTATCTTGAAGACTGGATATTGCCGCGATTTTATTTTAACTACTTCGTGGTTTTTCTGTTACCGTAGGACATTAATATTATAAAGTAATACATACTTTTCAACAATTCTGTTGTAATTCCCATGTACCTAATAGGATCGTGTCGCTTGTCAGTTGCCATATGCCAGGCACAGTTCCAGACTCTATAAAATTACACAGCGCCTAAGCCTTTAAGAATGCCATTTTCCCTGTAAAATGGATATCCACATTAAATTTTCTTTCGATAAAAAATCTCATGTTTTCGGTTGGAATTTCGCGAAAATCTCTCTGATACTCACACTTTCTAGAAGTAGTTAAGTACTAGTATGAGTAAGTAAGATTAACTGACTGACTGACTGCCATGTTCATTAATATTGTAAGTAATGTATGTAGTTACAGTCCGGAGTTAATTACGTCCACGTTGATAACATCATTATCTCTATTACTGGTAAGAAATTTAATATGACAAGCTGAATGAATTTTACGTTTGATAGTTCTAAAAGCTGAAAAATTTATAGAAATGAACACGTATTGTGCTGACCCCAATGTAGCTTGGGGACAGGGAAGGAAGAAGAAAAAAATTTGAGAAACTAACAAAGACACCGAACGTAGAATGCCCTCTATGCTCGGTGTCTTTTTCAGTTCAGTCTTTGTGATTTTATCAACAATACGCAGATAATCTTCTTTGTTCTTTTATAAGACCATCATCTTAGCTTTTTTATATTTGATGGGCCGACGTTTGACCACTATCTCGCCTGGTGGTACGCGATAATGCGGTCTACGATGAAACACATCGTCCCATAAGCAACCTATTCACTCGGGCCTTGAAGACACCCAGGTACCCCTATACCCTTCAGGAAATACAAACTGTTTGGAATGTTTTGTCCTTGTGCGTGTTCCTTTGAATTATGCAGCTCGATGTACTATGAGACTAACTGAAGAAAACGGGTAGGTATAAGATTGATTCGGATATCAAGATTCCCTTTGGGAATTTCGTCATCAAAACACAAAATTAACTAAACATTTTAATACAGAAGTACGCAGTTCTTTAGCTCTTTACAAATATATGCACACCTCTATTTAATTATATTTCGTACGAATGATTTCTTTTGTTATTTCATCTCCCCTCGCGTTTAGCACAAAGGGTCACTCCTTGTGTCCTTGAACGAATTTCGAACAGTCGTTGTTGGATCACGCTTTGCAAAATATTTGAATATATTAAATCGCTTAATGTGAATATAACCACTTCAAATTCTGTCAAATATGTCCTAACTAGAATTAAAAATAAACAAAACTAAGCAAAATTGCCTCACTGGCCTAGTAGTCGCAAGTGCGACTACCGGGAAAAGTAATACTGGGTTTATCAATAAAATCTCAGTAGTAGCAAGGAGTCTAGAATTGTGCCCGGTATATGGTAATAGGCCCTACTACATGGGACTCATAAATAGTGAAAAGTAGGTATTACATTGTACAGCGGCATTAAGTGCACCTCTGCCTACGCCTTCGGGGATAAAAGGCGTAATGTTATGCAATCTAAGCAAGTACTAATTTAGATGATTCTCGAGACAGTATCCAAATGGTCCAAGATAGTGAACATGCTTGTACCATTTGGGCTGCAAGAAAGGTTCCAAACAATAATGTTTGATATCGACATCGGTTCTAGTTTTGATGCGATAAGAATAAAAATTGATATTTTGTAGAAAACAAAATTTTTTTTTATTTCTTGACTGTAATTTATTTATTCTAAGTTCTCTGACATTTAAAATAGGGATATCTTTATATTTATAATTCTTCTGTGAGTGTGTATGTCACTGAACTTCTCTCAAACGACTGGACCGATTTTGATGAAATTTTTTTGTGTGTTCAAGGGTATCTGGGAATGGTTTAGATTCAGAAATCAGGCCGGCAGATGGCGCTGCAGTCGATATCTGGGTTAGTTATCCTAAACGGATGAACCAATTTGAATGAATTTTTGTTTATACATTCAAGTGGATATTATGCAGGACAACGTCTGTCGGGTCCGCTAGTATGTATATATTCAGCAATTAAACATTATGTAGGTAAACTGGCTTTTTTTCAGGGGGTAAAATCATCGAATGACTGCTCCCGCCTGGATGAGGCGGGAGGGAGTGTCAGACTCTTACCGACTAAAAACCACCCCGTTCCTTCTCCTGCACGTCGAGCCGGAGCCCCGGCAACCCGTTAGGTTCTCATGTAAACTGGCTTAGCAATGAGTTTAGTAGGTACGTAAGGAGGTGGTAACTAACGCAATTGTGTTTTTGTATTATTAACACATATGCGTAGGTACATATATATACTATTGTTCAATTGACGGAAAAAATATTAACCACAAATTGTAATATGTACAGTTTGTGGTTATTGTATTACTACTATGCAAGTATATACAAAATTAAACTACAAATGTAGCAATAACTAGCATTTTCATATTACAATGTACCATTTAATAAAACAAATAAGTACATACATATATACGGTGATCAGCAGGGCACTGGGCAACCAATCCATTTCTATGTATTCCATTTTCAATTTTATTTTATTGATATAAAGTCGTAAATGCAATGAATAAATTTCATAGAGTGAAGTAGTTTTGATCTGCTATGCACAAAACTTTGCAAATTGGCTTTGCACAAAAGAGTAAGTCAGATGCAAATTACACCTCTCGCTTACCCTTTAGTGCAATATTCATTTATTGTTAACCAATTTCTTAATATTATGAAAAGTCAAGATTAATTCCTAATCAAAGACAATGGTTCTTAAAGTGAAGAGAGTTAAGGCATGGAAGTACCGAGGCAGGTGGCGCTCAGATTTCTGTCTACCCTCCTGGTGAAAGGGCGTTTATATTGACATATGGGCATATGTAACATATATTACGATAATAGATAAGAATAAACTACCTATATTGCAAAAAAAAATCATTGTGTAATATGTCATTGTTCTATAAATAACTTGACTCAATAAATCAATCGATTGAACTTAACATAACATTACATTTATAACAAAGTACATTACTTTCTCATTCTATAGACATTTTTGTTAAAATAAGGAACAATTTGGAAAATAGGGTATTTCCCTGAGATGTGGTTCGTCCTTGGATCGATCGTGGCAAGGACGATGCGCGCGCAGCCTCAGTGGCGCGCGCCGCCCGCCATGGCGCGAAAAATTCACAGAAATGCACCCTATGCACTCGTTTATTTATTTAAATAGACACTCCTTAATTTATACGTTGTTTATTAAACTTTATTAATTTTAGCTAATATTTTCATGGCAAATATGCAAATTGTATCCTCTCTTTCTGACCTTACGTAATGGCGATTTTCGAAATGGCGACAACGGCTGTTTTTGGACGAAAATAGAACATCAATTGACAGTAGGTACTGAATCATTTTTAAATTCACAATTCCCAGTACAACACAAGAATGTATTGTTCCTCGCGTTAGTTATACATATTTACATTATCTGTGCAACGGAAATTATGGCCACAGCAGAGTGATTAAAGTTACAATATAATTACGTATGTTATTTGCGCGACATTTAAAGTCATTACACGCTCGTCTCGGAACTTCATGTGCTAACAATGACAAGGTACAGCAAAGGTGCAAGTTCACCATGATAATTATAGACCACCTTACATAAGTTCTCCATGACCCACAAAAGAAAATGTCCCATAAAAAAGAATCTTCCTTCATCAGTTTTTCAGTCATCGTCTATTGATTTTCCCTCCAAAAAGCAAAGGAAACTCATCATACGGCCATATGAGAAAATTTAAAAACTCACCCCAACTCGATCCCGTGCGGCCAAGGAACTGTCCAGTCTCGCTGTTCCATAGGAAAATCCTGAACGACTCCCATTTGCCTAGATCCGGCGGCGGGGCGTAATATTGTTCTGCAACCTTTGTCTTGTCTGCCATGTTCGAATGCCGAGCCGGACTGCGGACGGGAATCGATTGCCGGCGCCTTCGCCCTGTCTTGTCCCCTCCCCGCGCTGTGGCACCCCTCGTGCGCCTAGCAACCCCTGCAACCCCGTACCGCTCTTACGTAACGATTACATAACGCGGCGCGCGCACGTTTCAGACCTACATAGCGCACCAGCTTGCGTGGAGCCCCCTCACTGCGGCGCTATTCCCTTTCTTCCCACGCATTGTATGAATGCAGAGGGGAGCTAGGGGTCTTTGTAAATAAGTCAGGAAATAGGGTTGCAAAATAAAGCTTTGCCGTCGGATGAACTGCCCCCTCATAGGTTTAGGGGTCGTTTTAAAGCGCGCAGTTTGGGATAAACTTGTAGCTCTGGGCTGGTCATTGTGCCAGGTTATTGGTCTGAACAAAAATTGATTTCATGTCTGCGCAATCTAGACTGAAATATGTGTCTAAAGCAGCGATAAAACTGAGATGAAAATTTTCGTTTTAAAGTATCACTGTGGACTAGGATTTTCGGAATAACAATATTTTATGAAGGTTAACTTTCAAATTTTATAAAATATTGATAATGACTAATTTAAGATAACGAACTAAACTGAGTAGACAGTACAACTTTAATATAACTTTAAGAATAATGTAACATTTTGTTGCTTACATAGTGTTTACAAACTAAATTTGGCACCTCTATCAATCAGCTGATTACGTGACTATATATATTTATATCAACATCATAAATAGTTTTGCTCAATATTGTCGTCTTCTACGTAAGCAAAATAAATTGGACGTGGTGAGTTAAGTTACTTTGTCGTGGTGACCCGGAGGTTCAAGGCGCCCGCTTTTCATGCATCAAGGTGCGGGTTCGAAACCTACCAACGGCAAGTACCAATGTGACTTTTTCCGAGTTATATTTATGTACTTTCTAAGATTATCTAGACACCACTGACAAACGGTGAAGGAAAACGTCGTTAGGAAACCTGGACTTACAATATCTAATTATAAGTTTTTTTTCTTAAAAATACGTTGCCCCACACTAGGATTTTCTCCTGTGTCGTGGGTGCGTTTACAAACATACTAGTTCACATACACATAACAATTTGTGGATTACACAAATTGTTATGTTCCGTGCGGGAATCGAACCCGCGACACGTTGCGCGGCAGCCGGTTGCCCAGCCACCGCACCAACCGTGCAGTCAGTTTGTAATGGCCAACCCGCATTGAGCAAGCGTGGTGGTGTATGTTGAGCATTCCCTACCTTCTCCGTGTGAGAAGAGGTTTGATGATGATGATGAGTTAAGTTAATACTCTACGGAAAAATGTTATTGCTGCTAAAGTATATTTCATCTTGACCTTAATGATTTCAGCGTGGCTCATGCGTAGACAGACTGGTTCGTTATCTCAGTCGGGCACCTATTGAATCTATGTCATACAGCTTGACTTCTTACATTAATGGTCTTTCCTTTTCTATTTGATGGGCCGACGTTTGATCACTACCTCGCCTGGTGGCAAGCGATGATGCGATATGATATGATACCTAAATCACTATTTTTCTCGCTTTTCCTCTTTGATTCCAACCACTAATATTTAATTTTAAATACGAGTTACATACACGCCTCGTTAGCTGAGTGGTCGCAAGTGCGACTGCCAGGCAAGGGGTTTCGGGTTCGATTCCCGAGTCGGGCAAAGTATTACTGGGTTTTTTCAATAGTAGCACGGAGCCTGGAATTGTGCCTGATATATGGCAATAGAATCACCCCCTATTATATGGAACTCATAACATAAATAGTGATAATTAGGTGGTACATTGTACAGTGGCATTAAATGCCGTAATGTACACCTCTGACTACCCCTTCGGGGATAAAAGGCATGTTGTTACGTTACATACCTATACTTAATTGTACATTCTATTATTCATTCGCTTTCACTGAAACACCCAGACACACAATACACACTTTAATAATTCACTCTTACTATAAATCCACAACTACCGACAAAAATGGCAAACATCGATAAAAACAGTGTAGCTTTATAGAATGCACCCACGATACTAGCGAAACGATCGTGTAATTTGGCTACAATTAAAATCAAGATCAATCAGCTGGCGAATTCGTCTCGAAGTAATTTGATCGTCGAGACAATGAGGCTGCGAACCAATTACTAACAATTTGTTGGTTTATTTCCATAATACTAGTAGACCTACTGTTCTGCCTACCTGGTTTAGTATTGAGTTTGCTTCCAAAGTTCAGGTTACTAGGGATTTTAATTTTAAGTCTTACTAGCCGTTGCCCGCGACTTCGTCCGCGTAGAATATGAATTTGAAGACATAACTTATTTGTTTCAAATTTCCAAAATAAAAGAAGCCTATGTTACACCTTAGTATATCAGCTAACTGCCAAGTAAAGTCTCGTCAAAATCGGTCCAGCAATTCCAGAGACTAGCCAGTACAAACAGACTGATAGACTAAAAAAATATTTTGGTATGTGTATTCATATCTTATATCTTATACTATTATATAAAGCGGAAGTTTTTTGTTTGTTTGTTTGAACGCGCTTATCTCCGTAACTACAAGTCTGATTTGAATAATTCTTTTTGTGTTGTATAGCGCATTTATCGAGGATGGCTATAGGCTATAAAACATCACGCTACGACCAATAAGAGCTGAGCAGAACGTGTGAAACCGCGTGGTTAGTTGAATAGTACAAACAGACACTCCAATTTTTTTCATCTGTATAGATGTACATACGTACTAACTCATTTGTTAAAGTCATTCTTTACATTTTTTGTTTGCCATAATAGTGGGCACTATCCCAGATGTCATACTAGTATGAGAACTAGTTACATAAAATTAAAAATCTCCATTGTGCTTTAACTGCTGTATCAAACCCGAGACTCCTGCTACACATTCCCGCTTGCGACCACTCAACCAACCAGACACAAGTCGAAGTTCTGTTTCAGTTTAGTAAATTTTCTAGGGTTTTATTAATCAGAAAAATAAAGCAAATGAAACGATGACTTTAATAAATAGTGTGATGTATTTCTGCAAACTACAAACTAATTACATTTATATTTAGTTCATAAACTATTCTTAACATAAATACAAAAAAAGTTACAATATTAAATCATATTATTTTATGAGATAATTCACATTATAGACAACACAAATACACAAATGCCAAGATAATAATTATAATAAACCTGTGTATTGTAATTTTCACGTAAACAAGCCGTATGAGCGCCTGATACAAAATTAAATGCAACAATTATCTCTACTACAATTTGCTAAGTTAATTTTCTTTATACGGCTTTCTCGTCTTTTTCTTCACTTCTCTGAGTACCGTTATCATTGAGTACTCCATTCTGAGGCTTAGTCCAGGCTTGGCATACGCAGGTAGGTCCAGGAGTTCCAACCTGATGACCACCACCGGTCGTTTGGAAGCTGCCATTATTGGAACCAGCAAACCCTGGTGCGCCATTACCAGCCTGTCCTTGGAAATGGGATGATTGGATATTTTGACCAACAAAAGTGGATTGTGGTACCTGTCCATGTGGACTTCCGACATAGTTAGATGAGGGTTGAGTTTGCCCTACAAAACTTGACTGTTGTCCAAAGTTAGAAGATTGATGACCACCGTACGACCCGGTCGATTGTACAAAACCACCCGAAGGTTGATTGGCTGGTTGATAATTCACTTGCTGGCCAGCTGGTTGGTTCACTGGCTGAGCTCCTTGGTAATTTCCACTGGTGAACTGCTGGTTCTGGTTGCCAAACTGTCCAGCTTGTTGATTCTGGAACTGATTCTGTACCTGTCCTTGAGTTTGAAATTGGTTCCCTTGCTGACCATCGAATGTGTTGGCCTGTTGGTACTGCCCTTGGACCTGGGATGCTCCAAACTGCTGGTTAGAAGGATAGACTTGGTTGTTAAGGTACCCTCCTTGAGGATAACTGCCTTGTTGAGGATAACCGTAGTTGACATACTGTCCTTGGTATTGCGATTGCCCTTGGTTCTGGTAGCCTGTGTTCCAAGGTGCATATTGCTGAGGATATCCTTGCTGGAAGCTCTGCTGCTGTGTCTGGGTCTGGACGGTGGTTGTCTGTTGTGTAGGCTTATTTTTATGATTCTGGACAATGTCAATGACCCCTCCAATGATCTTCTCTGGGATGTGCATCATTTTTCTTCCTTCTAATGCATTGGCTGCGACCAGTGTGATGGCCAGCAACTGAAATGATGAATTAAACATAATCATAACATCATTGCCTTTTATCCCCGAAGGGGTAAGCAGAGGTGCACACAGAGATGACACCCACTTTTCACTATTTATGTTATGAGTCCCATGTAATAGGGGGTGAACCTATTGCCATATACCAGGCACATTTCCAGACTTCGTGCTACTACCGAGATTTTTTTTAAAAACCCAGTAATACTTTGCCTGACCCGGGAATCGAACCCGAGACCCCTTGCCCGGCAGTCACACTTGCGACCTCTCGGCCAACGAGGCAATGATGAATTAAAATGGTTTGAAAACAAACAAATATGTTCGTGTATCTGTGTAATCTGTGCTGTAAACTGCAAAAGTTTAGGCCTGAGATTGACGCTTTGAGTGATTGATTACGCTATTCCACTCTTGTAGCGGTACATGGTTATGTAACTATGTACACAACCAGTATGTATCTGCTTTGCGTGCTCATGAAAAATATTGTTTAAAGCAAAAGTGTTTAAGGGCCGATTTTTCAATCATCAGGTAACTTAACTGTAGAATAAAATTGACATTTGACAATTTTTAGTGTGGAAGAATTGTGAAATATTTAAAATTATAAATCTGGTGTTGGAACAATTGGCCCTAAGAACGTACTGCTATAAAGAAGTTCGAGGAGCTCTGTTCTTTATTTAATTACGGCCGAAAAGTCACAAAAGAAAACTATTCTTTACACGATTCCATTAGAAAACTTCGAAGAAAATTTGTAAGAGAAACCATAATTCTATAAAATATGACATTCAATTAAATTCTAAAATTATATTTCCAGCTCCAATTAAGTAACAAAATGGAATTGGTATTTCGAAAATTACAACACACATTTATAAACAAATAAGATATTTTTGGAAACTTAACTTATCATTTCGAAATTAACTTCAACAATAAAACTAACTAAAAGATTTTTATCACACTTTTAATCACATATTAAATCATTAATAAGTTGACTTTAGCTCGTCACCACTCACCAGTAAAGAAGCCCTGGCGTGTCCCTCCATGGTGGTATGATGTGGTGGTTCGGCTCCGAGCGATGGACTGCAATGCCTGCCTCTCCTCAAGGACATACTTTTATATTGCAGCACCTTCCGGATTGTTTGTAGGGCTGACACAAAACATTTCTTTTCATTCTATAATAAAAAAATATTGAAATAAAATTTTATAAATACAAATAAATTACAGTTCTAAGTATAAACATACATACATCTTAATAATAATAAAAAAATACGAGAAATTCAAAACTATGTTCCGAATAAGTTAGAAGTGACAATCACGATATTTTTTTACGAAGCATTATTAATAGGAATACTTTATTAATAGGAATTTAAATTAAATAATTATATACAACTTAAAATATAAATAACTAAAACCTAAAATATTTAATTAATTAAAAGAAAACTAAACGAAGGGTAAACATACGATTAATTACATAAAATAACGAAAATGTGTATAACAATTAATGTTCTTGTAGACAGTTCGTAGGCCTTTCGTAGAGCACTCGTAGCCTTCCGTAGAACAGTGGTAGCCTTACGTAGACTTATCGTAGCCTTCTGTAGATCGTAGACCTTCGTAGACTTTTCGTAGCGGATCCAAATATTTGTTATTTTAAGTTTACCGCAAGTATTACGTTAGTAAACGTAAGTTAGCTTCTATTTAATCGCTCAAACTAAAAAATTGATTATAGTTTAAGTGTAATTCTGTAAGAATATTAGCTCATTTTTAATTAAATAAAGGCCGTAAAGTTTGTAACAACAATAGAAATAGACACTTGCAAACCAGTTATTCTTCGTTGTATATTTGTAAAAGAGCTATGAAAATAAAAGTACAATAAGTCAAAGCATTTTCTTCAATAAATCTTTAGTTAGGCACTTTTGAAACCTCAATTATTGAATTGTCCGTCCGTCTGTACGTCAGTGAAGCTAGGCTCGTTCGAAAGTGTAGTTTCGAATGGAGAAGCAGGAACAAGAAACTCCATAATTATAAAATCGTGTAACGTTTAAATAATCCTGTTATACCTGAAATAATGCTCTAAATACTCTCGGATCATGTTTAATCGCATTACCTAATGAAGTTGTTTACTTATTAACTAACAAAGAATATATTTTCGTATTATAGTGGACGTATAACTGTATACACTAAATTTAGAAATCATATGAAAATAGACTGCCTCGTTGGCCGAGTGGTCGCAAGTACGACTACCGGGCAAGGGGTCTCGGGTTCGATTCCCGGGTCGGGCAAACTATTACTGAGTTTTAAAAAAAATCTCAGTACTAGCACGGAGACTGGAATCATGCCCGGTATATGGCAATAGGCTCACCCCTATTACATGGGACTCATACCACAAATAGTGAAAAGTGGGTGATACATTGTACAGTGGCATAATACGCACCTCTGCCTACCCCTTCGGGGATAAAAGGCGTGATGTTATATGTTATGTATGTTATGAAAATAGATTTTGCTAATTACAACTTTCGTAAGACATACTTAATTAATTATTATGTTTTTCGGCTTACTCACGTACTTAGGAACTCGACTAGTTTCAAGCCATGCTAGAAGTTCATATTCATGAGCAGCATCACGCGACACGCTACGTGACGGTCACACTGCTAGGTACCAGTCGAGTTCCTCATCAAATAATTACGTGAGTTAGTCAAAAAACCATATTAATTAAGATTTCGCTTAATGCTTGTTGACAAAAACTGCCTCTTTGGTCGAGTGGTCGCCAGTGTGTCTTCAGAGCACGAGATTTTGGAATTGATTAGTTAGGGCAAATTCTTTTGGAGGATTTCCGATAATTTCTCAAATATAACACATATATAATATTATTCACAAATGAAAGTAATTAGTTGAAATTATATTTTTCATTTGTGTGGCAGCCCTGTAACATGTGAGAGAAGACACGGGCGCGAGTTATCTCACCCCTCGCGTAAGTACCGCTACCTGGAGTCGGACCGATCAAGGGCAGTGCAAATATCGAATTATCGACATTCAAATCGAATAATACAATTTCAATTTTAATTAAATTAATTGACGAATAGAACAAATAGAATCTTTTTGACGTGAAGCAACGCTTGCGTTGTGATTCCTCGTATGAGTGAGGTTACCAGAGGCCCAATTACCCACCCCTTCCCCAATCTCCCCAATCCCTGAATCCCCAACTATCCTCAAACTCCTAATCCCCAAAAGGCCGGTAACGCACTTGTAATGCCTCTGGTGTTCCAGGTGTCCATGGGCGACGCCGATTGCTTACCATCAGGTGATCCGTCTGCTCGTTTACCGGCTTATGCCATAAAAAAAGAAACCCGACAACAGACCCTGACAAGCATGGCGAAAAACGACAAACTTTCATGACATAACATCCCGCCTTTTATCCCCGAAGAAATCGGCAGAGGTGCATGGTATTACGGTGCCTAATGCCGTACAATGTAACACCCACTTTTCACTATTTATGTTATGAGTCCCATGTAATAGGGGACGAGTCTATAGCTATATACCGGGCACAATCCCAGACTTCGTGTTAACACTACTGAAAATTAAAAAAAAAACCAGTAACATTTTGCCCGATCCGGGAATCGAACCCGAGAGCCCTTGCTCGGCAGCCACACAGGCGATCACTCGACTAACGAAGCAGTCTCATATGTCTATGTGTGTCTAGTATATGTCTTATACAAATCCTCATACATATATAGAGAAACTCTGAAGTCATAGGTCATCAGCATAAGTGACTATAAAATTATATTTTAAGTACTGTAGTACCAATATGAAAACAATAAAAAACTATCAGCCGAACATAGTACCTCCTCCTTTTTTGGAAGTCGGTAAAAATACTCCTAAATATTTTTAAATACTAAAGTGGTTATTAACAATATCGACAATCGAATTTGCTGTCGACAACCCACATCACTACCGTTAACCGCGCTGTCCGATCGTATGATTGACGCTGCGCTTGCGCACCCGAATAAAGGGCATAAACATTCCCTTTTGTTTTTTTTCACGTCCAATCGACACGGGCGTCGAATAATTGCACATGTCCGATGTATCACGAGGAGTGTATTCTTCGAAACCAAATGATGAAGTGCTTTTGACCAGTCAATGGTTCTTTACGGTGTATTAAGGAAAATTACTTTTGAATGAGCGTGTTTGGTGGCCTCGTGATTTATTATTTATTGTATCTTTTTTAGTTACGGTACTTCGATTTGTGATTTTGATTAATTTATAAAGGTTGTGATTATTTTTGTGAATCATAGCATAACATAACATCACGATTTTTTTTATCCCCGAAGGGGTAGGCAGAGATGCACATTATGCCACTGTACAATGTAACACCCACTTTTTTCTATTAATGTTATGAGTCTATTGTAATAGGGAGTGAGCCTATTGCCATATACCGCACACAATTCCAGACTCCGTGCTACTACTAAGAATTTATAAAACCCAGTAGTATTTTGCCCGATCCCGACCCGATCCTTGCCGGCAGTCGCACTTGCGACCACTCGGCCAACGAGGCAGTATTATAAAGTCATATTGTTTAATTTTCGGAAGGTAAATATTTTCGTATAACTCCCATGTTAATAGAGCAGGGCTATTCCATACTGTACTACACTTTGTCTTGGGATCAAACCTCAGATCCCTTGTTCGGCAGTCGCTTTCATGGTCCCTCCAATGAGACAGTAATATAGTTGTAATTATAAAACGTTGGGAGGTGACTTTAAGGCCGTTTTTTGTTTGTACATTGTATTGAAGGTGACTTTAATTTAATATCGTTTTTTGTTTTTTTTACTTTAATAAACCTTAATCACATCTTTTTTTGCATTCCATAGGCAATTAACTAACTGATAAACTTAAAATATGACAGAATATTAGAATTAAATGTTAACAATTAATTCGGTTTTAATTTCTAATCAATATAATCACCCCTTATTACATGGGACTCATAACATAAATAAATAGTGAAAAGTGGGTGTTACATTGTACAGTGGCATTAAGTGCCGTAATGTGCACCTCTGCCTACCCCTTCGGGGATAAAAAGGCATGATGTTATATGATGGTATGTCAATATGACTTTACTGATGACGTAGTTACATGACGGCGAGCGCAACGAAGCGAACGTCGCGTACTAGCGGACGCGGCCTATTGCGACTAAGACAACATCCTCTACATGTCCTTGTTGTGTCATAAAATTCTATGACCCATTATAGGGTATGGAATGAAGTAACTAGTCTAAGTTAGTCTCTTTTGTACCTTAGATAAAAGAGAATTTTGTCAAGATTGTGTTTTTTTATGGCATAAGTCGGTAAACGAGCAGTCGGATCACCTGATGGTAAGCAATCGGCGTCGCCCATGGACACCTGGACTGGAACACCAGTGGCGTTACAAGTGCGTTACCGGCCTTTTGGGGATTAGGAGTTTGAGGATCGTTGTGGATTCAGGGATTGGGGAGATTGGGGAAGGGGAGCGTAATTTGGCCTCCGGAAACCTCACTACGACGAAACATAACGCAAGCCTTCACGTCGGTTTTCTGCTCAGCCGTGGTATCACTTCAGTCGAGCCGGCCCATTCGTGCCGAAGCATGGCTCTCCCACACTTAAAAAATCACAATGTGGCAGAAATCACATTTTGAGTGGCGTCACGGCCATTAATTTTATGCTAGTTAGTAGTGGTACAACGTAAACGAGTGAGTCACACTTTCTGCCTACCTTTTCAAGAAGTTACAGACAGAAAATGAATAGGAAATACTCAAACGCCACTAAAGAAGTCGCGCTTAAGTATAGTTCTGTCACTACAAGTTCTTTGTAAAATGAAAGAGATGGCACGATATTTGAGTACAATTTAAAATTGGGTAGCCTTTCAGTACTCGAACGTTAGTCTTATTTATTAAGTAACAGCTATATGGTGATTCATTACATAAATATCCCGCAATGATTAAATGTGTCTGTCTAAATTCTAGAACTGTTGAACAAATAACTATCGTGAGACGTACTATATTATCTAAAATCGCGGGTTAATTACGTGAATATACTGAGAAAAGCTCTACTAGTTTCGAACCACAGAGGGACTCTTCCTCATT